CGCCGCTCATTGTCGATGACTGCGCGGCCTACCCTTTATAGTCACCGTCTGGAGGCACCCGGCGTCTGTCTGTAACGTGGTTCTCCGACCCAGTAGCTTTCCGCGCTATCGCCTGTTCCGCGGTCACGGCGCTCACGAACGGCCAGCCTTGTGTGCTGCTCCGTGCTCCAGATCGGCAGAGGGCAGCCTTTCCTGGGCGACAGTCACCTATTATCGGAAGGACGTTTTTCGTGAGTTCATTGAGGCGCACGTGGTGGTCAATATCCCCTAAAACACGCCACAAATATGGTCATATAAAATACCATCGCATGGCGCAGGTAGCATTGACTGACATTTTCCTCGGCGGTTTTTACATCAGCCCAGTCTGAAGCCGAGGTCATACCGCGCACAGCATTGATAAGCGAAGAGACTCAGCATTTTCGGCGAACAGTGCACGCATTATACTGAAAACACGAGTTCTGTATCGTTCCTCCAGCCTTTTTTGGAACATGCGCCGCGCGACTCCAAAAGAAGTGAATGAATGACATGAATCATGGTAGCGACTTCGTCCGCCAAACACGAGCATGAAATAATAAAAAGGTTTGTATAGATATGGAGTATGATAACGGAGCCACAAAGGAAGAAACAGCGCTACATTGTCCGATATGCATTCCGGTGGCATTTTCGCCATTACATCCAAAACGGGGAAAATACTTATCTACTAGATTATGACGGATTTCCCTGCATGACAAACCGCGATAACTAGTTGAATGATCGTCTTCGGCCACTGAAGTGACAGTAAAACTCGGCCGATGCGAATATAGGCACATGCTCTACGGTCCATATCTATGCTGCCCTTGAGAACGGCTTTCAGAACAGAGGCGGCGGACGCGGCAACTCTTTGCATTATGTATGTATATTGATTTATTGTCAGCCAACGACGGCACTATGAAACTTGTCAATCAATTTAAAAACAACAACGAACGGTATATGATGAGAACAACTTGGAAAATTGCATACAAAGCTGATGCAAAGCAATGAGCGCCGCCAAGACAAAAAAGGAAAACATAAATCGATAAGCGATGTGATCAAGCCACAAAAGATAAATGGAAAAGTCGTCAATATACTGCTCAAAAGATTAAGAGCATTTTTCCGTAATGAAGTCAGATCTCCATCGCGCGAGTAAGAGTAGTTAGCTACTGCGCGGAGTTGACCCGGTGGCAAAGGTGGCGGTGTTTCCGACAGAGGTCAGGGAGGAGCCGAAGGTGCGTGGCGAACAAGGGATCAGCATGCTGCAGCGGGCTGTAGGCAGTGGATACTGGGTGCTATGTCGAAACTGGACAGGTGGACAAGTGGACGAGCGGTGGACGCTGGTCGGTGGAAGCGAAGGACCGTGGAAGGCGGGTGGGACAATGGACAGAGGGCAATGAGTAGTGAGCAGTGGACGGTAGAAAGTGAATAGTGAGCTGTCTGAAGGCGTCCCAGAGCAGTGAGCAGCCCACACACACGCACAACACCCACCTCCATTGTCCCAGCACCCAGCCGCACATCGCTCACCCCCGGGGAGCAGCTCCGAGCAGCTCCCCTCCCTCCCAGGCGCACAGGGAGCCGAACAGAGGCCGGCAGTGACTCCCCGTCCGCCCGCGACACAGCGTCCCCGTATTAGCCGCATTGTCACCAGATGAGACGATAGCGGGGCTACACGGCAGCGATACATCACCCCGGCCCGACCCAGTTTGGTACCGGCGAGAAAGGAGCTCAGAACGGCGGCAGAGAGCCCCAGAGGCCAAGGTGAAGGAGAAACACGCTGGCATGGATCACCGACTTTGCTTAATGCTTTCCTATCAGAATAGCAAAATATAGATAAAGGAATATGGTCGTAGCGAACATGCTTGAAAAAGATTGCAAGTAAAACTGGTTTGTTATCTGGATGCGATTTTTATCAACAATAATAGCCGAATCCCGAAGCTCGAGGCTTGCACAAGAGCTTGACATGCCTCAAGTATGGTAAGTCCGCTGAACTATTTACTTTTGTTTGGCTACAAAGAGCCTAAGCTCAACAAGAATGAGAAAGAACGTATGAACATGCAATCATGCATGCATCTTCTATAGTCCCAACCCATAACCATAAATGTCAACCTAACCGGGTGAGGGCACTTTTGGCTCGTTGGCCATGGGAAAAGGACTAACAAAATTAAGACACCACATGCACATTGCACAGTGTACTTCTTGCATTTCTCCTTGCACTTGTTTTGTTTGTTTTGTTGGGTTAGGCCCTTTCGGTCCAATTAGACCATTTCAGAGCCGGAAGGATGATAGGAACTAGGGGGAGACATTGGTCTGGGCAGGCACCCTAGTGAGTCGCCGGGGCTGAGCCCGTCCAGAGGACAGGCCGCCCAGCCCCAAGGCACTCACTGCACCCGGCTACGGGGTGCGCTCCCTCGGGAGCGCACTCCCTCCCAGCGGTGCCGCTCCAAGGGAGCAGCCCGCATGAGATAAAGTTGCCTGTCCAGCCCGGAGGGGGGGGGGGGGGGGTTGCGGCGTGGAGGAGAAGGATTTCAGTATCCTGAGGATAGAAGCACGGAACGGTCATGTCCTTGCACTTCTAACGTTCAAACAGATAAGCAGTGAGCACGGTAAGCAGGGAGCACGTCCCCCCAACCCGCAGTACCAGCACCACCTAGTGTCCGACTTTCGCCCAACACCCCGCTCCTCCCTGGGCTTCTGCCCCAGAAGCCCTACACCACCTACACATTGTTCGCATTAGAGAACACGGCCTTCCGGCAGCAGCGAGGAAAACCGTCCGGGCTGGGTGCAGAACAAAGGCACGGGAGTAGCATCGCCACTGTTATCTGCAGACCATCTCCCCGAGTAGCAGCACTAGATCCAGCGCGAGCCCCGCCCGCGCCGCCGGTTAATCAGCACGCGCTGCAGCGGCTCGGGATCCCGCAGCGCCGCTGACAAATTTCACCCGAAACGACGACAGAAATAGGCAGCTCGATCGACAGCCCCCACCTCTGGGATTGATAGAGCCCGTCACCAATTGCATGCGAGCGTGCCATAAACTGGTGTCAATCTCCGCGGCTTAATTCATAAATCGCGACGACAATGAATCGCCTTTTCTGGGTACGGACGAGGTCACTATAAAAATAGGACCAACTATCGACCTGGCATCGGCACTGAGTAGTCGGTGACAATCTGATTGTTACGTGGCGCCTTTACAACCCAAAAACATAAAAATAGGCCGTAAATGGTTCAAAGACGCGGTCCGTACAAAACGATATGAGTTGCCTAATTTGAACAATAGCGGAAATTCATTCAACGCGAAAGACCATGCAATATGAATGGAGCAAAGCCACTTGCGGGTTCCGCAGATTTTCATTTATTATTTAGTGATCTCCAGAGGCGCTGACTGGCTGCTTTTACGGCAGAATTAATGCATAAATCAGCCATAACAGGGGGTAGGTGCAGCAGTAACACCGGTTTTATTTAGTTTCACCAGGCACCAGCAACTTTACTCGCACGTTGCACAGTAACTGAATAGAGCTACTGAAATACAGGACTAGCATTTTCTGTTCAGTCAGTTCCTGTGCGCTCATTTATCTCAACTTCAACTCAACCTTCAGTATATGTTGACATGTAGAACACCAGTATGACCGTAAATCACCCATCCAAGCCAGCCGCCCCACTTGTGACTCCACCACCCATCAAAACCAAGCCACCCCTCGTGAGATCTCGCAGACCACGAGTTCCTCTCGGCACGTGCCAAGCGGTAACCCCCGCACCTGCCGTTACGCAGGGACAGGCGCCATGTCCGCTCCATGTCTCGCTAACGACGGCCGAGTGCCGCCTGGTGTGTAGCCTGGGCGGCGGAGCGTACGACGGGCTGGCGGTGGCGCGTGCCAACAGGGATCGTACCTCCGACCGGGGGGAGACGGAGGGGAGGGTAGGGGAGGTGATCCAGGGCGGCGGCGGCAGTAACTGATCTGCAGGAATATTGGTATTAGACATGCTACGCTGATGATAATGTCCAGTCAGTCAAGGGCTTATGCTAAAATGATTACAGTTGAGCAATGGCCTAAATAGTGCTGCAGCGCTCTGATGCGATTGAAGATAAAATAGATATCGTTCAACTATAATGGCATAGCTGAATCAATTATCTCTCAAGAGCTTAGTAAATTGTAGCCCGCATTATCATCATGCAAAACAAGTCATGCCATCTTCTCGAAAGAAGTCTCATCTAGAGACTAGCATTCGATGCATTTGTTGACCATCAACACATCCCACAACAAAAACCAGTTCACAGCACCAGCCATCTCGCTCTGAGCACCCCACCCCGTGTCTCTCACACCCACCTATACCTCCCCACCCCTGTCCGACACGACCCAATCTCCGCCCGCTGACCGGGCACTGACCGGGTCACGCATTGTCCTCGGCGTGTCGACACCTCTGTGACAACTGTGGCGCGGGCGGCGGTCAGGGCGCGGGGGTGACGAGTCCGACGCTCTCCGTCCATGTGACCGCCACTCGGCTGCGGCTGACCGGGCCGGCCGGCCGTCCGTCCGCCCACGCCATTGTTCTCAGCACGGCATTTATCACCGTCCCATTGTCTTGGCTCGTGTCTTCTCGCCGACCGCCCGTCTGTCTGTCTGTCTGTCTGCCTATCTGTGTGTCTGTCTGTGTGTCTGTGTGTCTCCCTGTCTGTCTGTCTCTCTGTCTGTCTGTCTGTCTGTCTGTCTGTCTGTCTGTCTGTCTGTCTGTCTGTCTGTGTGTCTGTCTGTGTGTCTGTGTGTCTGTCTGTGACTGCCTGTCAGCTGGGTGGTGCGTCTCAGCGCCCCAGTTAAATGGAATGAGGGGGCGGAAAGACAAAGTGGGCGGCCGGAAAGACAAGGGAAGAACACATCAGGGGTTGGATGTAGTCCACAGGGGCAGTCTATTACCGGCCCACCCTCCTTGTTTACACACAAGGGAGGCACAACTAGGGAAACGTGCGTCCCGGCACCTTACAGTGCCGCACTCACCTGGTTTTGGATGTCGGCGATCTTGGCCCAGGAAAACTCGAACTCGTTCAGCGGCACCTTGGCGTGCTTCAGGAAGCGCAAGAAGCCAAGCTCCTCGGGTCGCAGGATGAGCAGCGCGTGACCCCGGCCGCCCATCCCGCGCGCCGTCCGACCCACACGGTGGATGTACTCCTGTGAGCGAGAGACGGCAGGCGATGGGTGCGTCATAAAGGGCGAGGTGGAAAGATGTCAGCAAAGAATACGCATCAAATGATTTCTACGAGAAATAATGGATTACCAAGACTTGAAACTGGACTCAAACGAGGGGATTGGGCGGGTTAGAGTGCAACATTGTAACCGGGTCATGACCTAGCGGGTCAACGGTGTCATATGTCCTTCTAAGACCTTCAGCAGTCATCAAAGAATTGAGTCATCAGTGCGTCACCAGCCCACTCAACCCAGGGATGAGCAAGGCAGGATAATAAGCCAGCAATCAAACGGACAGTTTCGACTGTGACTTATTGGTAAGTGAATGCCAGAAGATCCACAGATAAGGATAATCTGCGGTCATTCTGGTCTCCACAAACAGCGATTACGCAGTAAATTACGGGTCGCAGACGGCGACGCGTTAGCGGCGGTATGTTTTGTGTGGGTACTCAGTGAATATTTCAGTAAAAATGAGTTAAAAGGCAATAATATATGAGAACGATCTGAAATAAAACACGAAAGCAATCTATAACATGCTATATAAGATACGCCATTAAACACATTCCGGGCAAAACAATCAAGCAACTCACTATTGTTCAGATCATTTATCATGATCGGCAGCCCGGTACTTAATTTATTTCCATACACAAAGTGCAGTGGTTAGTTCACATGTCACCTATCGAATATGAATAAGATACACTCGAGACCAAGCTCGAAACGCTGGCGCATTCAGAACGGAATCATTTTTGTCAGCTCCTGACAGCTGGGGCATTCCACGATAGATCGTACCAGGCCCGTCACCCTCATCCCTCAGATTTGAATGAAAATTAGTACAAGGGGTAATCATAGGCTCCAAATACACCTGCCAAAATATCATACTTCTCAGATGAAAACTTTTTGAGTTACATTGCATAATATTTTCTCAACTTCAGATTGTAAGGATGAGTTTGATGAGCTAGAACTCAGAAACGAGCTAAGCAAGCAACAAACGGTAAACAGCTTTGAACTAACGATGAATCAAAGATTAATACAGTATTTTTAAAATTGGAAAGAAAAGCTTTACATATTGAAAAAAGGCGTAGTATATTTTAAAATTGTCTATAATGGCCCTTGGGACCAAAATTTTTGCCATTTTTATTTCTTCAAAATAAACTTCAGGTCATTTAAAATCGACATGCAAAAAATTACAAAGGTGTTCTTTCTGTAAGTTCCTCATTTTAATGCATACAAAATGGGTTTCCGGGGGGTCGGCACGACCCCAGCTCGCCGTTTCGCCTCTAATGGAGCTAGAACCTTGCGGAAAAAACGAGCATGTGCGCCGTTACAAGATGCATCGAATGATACCTTACTTTAAGGTCTCGGGTTGATTGGTGACCCCTGAGGTCATTTCAAGTGGCCCAAATTACGGGTCCGGCTTTTGATAGATAACTTCGCAACAAATGGTCGTAGAGCCGCGATTTTAGCATCTTTGTGTTTGCCTAGCTCCGGCGCGTCGAACGGTATGCTGTTTGTTCTGGTGAGGTCAGCTTAAGTCGCTGACCTCGGGTCAGCACACTGCCGTGTATTTGGCTCCGCTCCCCGACCGGGCGGCCCAGCCGGCAGCCAGCCCCCGGGCATCACGTGACCGCCCGAGTCCGCGGCAAAGCCAACCAGCGCGGCGCTGGACAAACAGCGCCGCTACAGAGATGGTTAACAGTCGGGTCAGGTCACGAAGCTGGGTGAATGAGATCATATTGCACATCATTTGATTCGCAAGGTCTTCCCGAGTCCATTGGTAGCTTTCCCGTCTCTCTAGCTCAATTTGATCGAATGTAATTAACGAAAAACTCTTATGACCCTAGTGACGTACGAATCACGTCACGCAAGGTCAACAATGCAAAAGTGAGGCAAAAATGACTTCAATTGAACTTTCAGTAACCAGTGATGTCACTAGGCAGCTTTACCACACCATTTGTAGGCTCTCTTCCGAAATCACAATTCGAGACCATTACGGTGACGCAAAATAAGTACATTTATAGAAAGAACACCTTCCTAAATTTTTGCATGCTACTTAAAAATGATCCAAAAATGTTTTTAAGTAAATAAAAATTCAAAAAAATTTGGTCCCAAAGGCATAAAAATGCAAATGAAAGGAAACTCGAGGTGTTATATATCAAAAATAGTATATATTTCAAAATTCTAAAAATGCATATTATTCTTTGTTTCAATGCAAGTTCAATGCCGTATAGCATTTGGCATTTGGATTATCCGTCTTAGAGTTACAGCCCGCCAAACTTGGGGCTGCAACGCAAGATCCAAAACATGTTATACACTATAACTCAAAAAACACTCATCTGATAAGCCTGAAATTGTTACAGGAGGATTCAGAGCCCCTGATTACCCCTGAGACCAATTATTGTTAAAATCCGAGAGATGAGGGTGTCAAATTGGAAAAAAGTGGTACGATCTATCGTGGAATGCCCCAGCTGGAAGCATTACACCCCAATTATCGTGCAAAGGTTTTCACCACCATAAAGTACACGGAGCACAATGCATGCAGCTTTCAATCAAAGGTCCTGGGCATGGGCGGCATCCCATTTGATTTATAACCGGCATTAAGGTAAAACCATAGCTAATTGTTATGCAGAGAGGGTATCGAACGCCTAATTATGTTCGATGTAAGAAACGCTACCAGATCGCTTAGCTCGATGACCCCTGGCATTAACTGAGGTAGAAACTGATAAATGTCACATATTCGCGCCTCCAATCGAGCTACAGTTATGGTAATGATAACATCGTACTCAACAACACATTTACATTTCGCAACACCAACCAGAACTAGAGGAACCAGTGTAGCAAATAGGCTGCGACTGATTGAGAAAGGCAGCTAAATGCCCATTTGACTCGGGAACGAATCCAATCAGCAGATAAGATCTGCAGTATTATTTGGAGCAGCCGCCACGAGGCAAGGCATCCAAAACGAACTATTGAAGAGAGCCACAAGTCAGCGGGTTATCTTACACCATTAATCACGAACGACCGAAGAATACCAAAAATATAAAAATGAAGACCTGAAAAATCATCGCGCCTGCGCTTCCCCAATAAATGGTCCCCGATCCAAATCAATATCAGTCGCGGGTGAGTTATAGGGCAAAAAGCTGGTAAATTGGTGGGGCGAGGAGCGTGCCCGTGATATAATTAATGGCGACAGCTGTCCATTGTTCGGGCGCAGTGTGACCGGACCTATCAGCGGCGGCGCCTGCCCACACACAGATGGGGACCCGTCCACCCGTCCACCCCACCGATCAGTTCTGTCCACACACAGAGGGATTGGTCCTACCCGTCCACCGGACCTGTCAGCGGCGGCGCCTGTCCACACACCGAGAGGGAGACTGGTCCACCCGTCCACAGCGTCTATTCCGCCCGTCCACCGGGCAGCAGGGCCGCTCCGTCTTGTCCACACACCGAGCTCATCCACCACGCTCGTCCACCTGCCTAGTCTCCTCGTCCACCTGACTGCCCAGTCCTCCCCATATCACCAGAACACCACGCCCCACGTTCCAAAGTCCAGTTCATCCCTAGCACACAGTCCCTGCCTGTCACCTCGACACTCCTTCATAAGTGCCAGCAGCAGCACGACCTACTTCCCACGGCAAGAGCACCGTCCATCATACTGCACCAATGCAGCCCACTATTTCATTCCCCATGTCCCCACCCGGCGCCATGTCCCTGTCCACACCGCCCCTGATACGTCACACCTTGTGTTATCTACCGCCTGAGCATCTCAAACCCAGAGCCCCATACCGGCTCGAACCCCGACGCAAGACGAACGACACACAACATGACACCGGCGCCGCTGCGGCCTGCATAGCGATCGGCAAAGCCTGATCGATGTACACATGTCTCCAGCGGCAACCATGACATCGAGAACACCCGTGGGCCCCGAGCCGGCCGGTCGGCATCGACCAAAAACAGAGCAGCGAAGGTTAGCCCGTCACCACCGACAGGAACCCGCAGCGGCTGCAGACGGCGAGGTTAGCTTCTCACGGGCGAGCGGTGTTCAGAGGGGTTACCGGGTCCCACAGTCCGCTTAAAGCCCGTGACTGTCCTAGGCTGACAGGGCAACAAGTCGGCCGGCCTCAGAGCAATACGGGAACATTCGCGACTCGGACAGGCCTTGTCTGTACCAGGGACCGCCCTGCTCGGGCGGGGGCGGCGGCGGGGGCGGGTATCAGGCCCGTATCTGGGCCAGCCAGGGCGCGGGGCCTGTCCCTCCATACTGGGAGTGTACCGTGCAACCCTGTGTTGCACCAGCCCCGGAAAGACGCCCAAAACGTAATATTGGCCCCATGACGCAGGTCAGAGCAGTCCACAATGGCGGCACGGTATGAGACATGACATGGGGTTGTCACGGCCTCTCAACTGGCTTCCCGCTGATACATGGAAATCATTATAATTTGTAACGCTCAGCCAATAACCACATTGATGTGTTCCAGTTGTAGCATTCATTTTTCATTTTTCAATTGGAATTTTAGTTAAAACGCATTTTCAGCATAGAGCGAAACGAGCCATCTCATCCCTTTCATGACATATGTAGTAACAGTCTGACAATAGAAACCTCTCCGCCCGGCGCCCCGGGATATCACTCAGCCAGTCCCCACACGGGCACACGGCGCCGGAGACTCTCAGCCCCTATGCAGATCACACGCCCCAGTCCCGCGGCGTCCCACCAGGAGCTGTACCGAGGCCAACAAAGATTAATGACACTAATCGGCCAATAATCGCCAGCTCAATTATCGTCCGGGCTGTCGTGAGTGGTCAGAACTCGGGCTGACATGCTCATCTGCAGCACGGCATTGCCGTGTCATCGATGTAACCTGTCATCGATGTCAGATATGCAACATTAATTCGATGTCAGCATGCCGTGTCATCAGTGTCAGCACTTTACTCGAAATCTGGTCACTTGTGTACGAATTTCCCCTTGGACCGAACCAAAACCAACCATCAAACGCACGGGGTGATGGACAGAGACGTGCCACTGACCTTGGGGTCATCAGGCGGGTCGAGTTGGCCTTGAGGTCATCTAGCGCCGGTCCATTGACCTTGGCGTCATCTGGTAGCACTGACCTTGGAGTTACGCCATTGACCTTGGGGTCATCAGGCGGGTCGAATTGGACTTGGGGTCATCTAGCTCCGGTCCACTGACCTTGGAGTTATCTGGTTACTGGTAGCACTGACCTTGGGGTTATCTGTCATTGACCTTCGGGGCATGTGGCTCCACTGACCTCGGGGTCATCCGGCGGGTCGAAGTGACCATGGGGTCACCAACTGACCTTGGGGTCATATGGCGCCACTGACCTTTGGGTCATCTGGCGGGTCGAATTGGCCTTGGGGTTATCTGGTGGTCGTCACTGACCTTGGGGTCATTAGGCGGGTCGAACTGACCTTTGGGTCAACTGGCATCCACTGACCTTGGGGTCATCAGGCGGGTCGAACTGGACGATCCAGTCGACGGCCGGGATGTCCAGCCCTCGGGCGGCCACGTCGGTACACAGCAGGATCCCGCTGTCGGCGTTACAGAACTGGAAGAACGTCGTCGTCCGCTTCGACTGCTTCTGCTTCCCCTGTGGGAGAGAGAGAGAGAGAGGGGGAGGGAGGGAGAGAGTTGGTGTGATTAGTGACCGATCACCGGGCTCCACTGTTTTATTTATCGTTGTTTTTTTTTAGTGGGGAGCCTTTCAGAATGTGGATCGGATGGTGACGGCCAGAGTGATTTGTTTACATTTCACGAGTCGGGAGGACTGGCGAGGTGAAAAACGACGCGTGTGATTGATGCCTAGAGAATGTCATCACAGACTGATGTGATGGATGTGCAATTAGAGTCCAGCAGATGCAAAATCATAACGTAGCAACATTCCATAAAAATATGACATTCTGGTTCCGTCAGCTAGCGATTAATTGCCAATCAAATCAAGAGCAGCGTCATTACCAAACCCTAACTAAAAAAAAAAAAAAAACAGTAGGAGCATTAACTCAAGCCCCTGTGGTGCAAATGACACAACCCCGTTGCCCCTGCACTGAGTGGTTGTCAAAGGCACAGGGTACTGGCGTGGCTGCCCCCGACACTGCCGCGGTGCTCCCGGCACTGATATGATGCACCCAGCAGTGGCGTGTTTGCCCCCGCTACTCACGTGGATGCACATGACGGGCAGGTCGATGTAGTTGAGCAGCTCGTTGTGGAACTTCACCGACATACAGCTGCTGAAGAACACCATCACCTTCTTCTTGCGGTTCTTCTTCAGGAAGGTGAACAGCAGCATGAACCGCTTCTCCGACGGACACACCACATACCTGTGACAATACAGCGCAGGTGAGCAAATAAATGTTAGAGCTTGTTTTCATTTATCTAGCTATTCGAGGCGGTTAATTCAAAATCTGTTCCACACAGAATTTGTTCAAGTACTGTGCGAAGGTCAATGACGCAATAATATGACTGCAAATGCATCACTATTATCTCACACCAATGTTCGATTTGCTGACATCACGCGTGTGGGACGAGAGCAAAAACAGCGTGACGTCATCTCCCACAGACGTCGTAATTATCGACACTCGGAGAGGAGCGCAATACGATAGCGGCACAGTGAAAATGATTGGTGTGTCTGTTGACAAAATGAGCTATTTATAGCATCGAGATTTGTTTCGACTATTGCTCTGTTGATTACGTAAAGACCGGTGATCTCATTAACAGGGATGCAATAACTTAGCATGTAAATAACATGGGTATCAAGACCAAACAACGCATACAATATTAAACTTTAGAAGGCAAATGACCCGAGTTTAATTTCGCTGCAGGCGCTACACGGTGACAACTACCAGCAGGCTACGGGGAGCGGTTTCCGCCCCCGCATAACGCATAACGCAGGCATAAGCTCTCCGGCATAATGTCGTTTGGAAAAGAGATAACCAGTACATCCACTTTGCCTGACACAGTTCTGAGAGATACCATTTTATGAAGACCGATTTCATGGCATACTAAACAGCCGATGCAAAACCATTCAAAACAACACACACAGAAACATTGCTAATTTTCAGGCTAGCCCGGCCCCTCCCAAGCTAATTCCACCCCCACTCGATCCGATTCCTCTCGATCTATCCCCCACCCCGGTCCGGCGTGTCCCGCCCGTCCCCGCGGCCCGTTACTTGCAGCAATCGGTCCAGGTGGGCCCCAACAGTGGGTGGACAGCTAACAGGGCTGACCATGAGTGTCCGCCTATCGGGGCGTCCCGCCTGAGCCGGCGACCGACGCGTGGGCCCGTCGAACCCTTCAACGTGCGCTAACAGGCGCCTCGCCGCCCACGGCGACACGAGCGACCAGCGGCGGCTGCGGCGGGGCGCCCACCGTCCCTATAAGGCGACCGGCCGTCAGGGTAAGACCGTGATCGACGGCGCTGAGAGAGCAATGTGCCATCATTGTCCGGTCAGCGCTGCGTTTGGAGGAGCTGGGCACCGGTGATGAAAGGTGGGATGGACGCAGCCTCAAGGGCAAACAAAATTACCATGCTGCGAAGGCCTCGCTGAGAGTACGCTTGAGTAATGAGTGTATCCCCCGCACAAGTTATTTCTTACGGTAAGATAGCTTGTTGCGGAGTGCTGATGCTTGTTAGTACCGGACCAAAACTACCGAGTAGACGGATCCAATTAGGAGAATGTCCGTATCGTGACTTTGGCGCGTGGCTAAGGACCAGTTCATCATATTGCGGGTCACTCTTTTTCCTATAAAGCGCGTTAGCTTAGAATTACAGACTCCCCAACCAAGTGAAATGTTGGTTTTACAGCCCACACGCCTACCATAAGGTCATAGTTACATTATCGACGCCATCAATCAATTGTCCCATAAAGTACAATACCGACCGCGTATCTTAACAAACTGCGCACACGAGACTGAAACCAAACATGACCTGACCCGTCGGCCACAAAACAGCCATTATGCAATTACCAACAATCATCTTATCACCGCAAACCGCGCAACCTTCATTCACCTGTAATTTAATCCGACATCCTGCTAGTAAATTTATCAACAGCCTAGCCTGTAAATCAATAGGTACTTCAACTGTGCTTCATATCATGGTACTTCGCGATACCACTACCTGCCACGCGTCCTCCATAAAGGAGATCCCGAAAGTCACCTTCGGGCAGAACCGAGCGCAGAACGTAGGTTAGGTACCCCTGCTCGAGCCCTGTGACGGTGGCCTCAGTCATGCGCTGCTTGGTCGAAGAACGTACCGCTGTAACTTCGAAATATGAGACGGTAGCCTCAGGACACTGTTCGGTACCTATCTGAGAGTAAGAGGGGACCAAAACGTACCCCTGTTTGAGCCCTAGGACGGTGACCTCAGCCCGTCACCTTAGCACACCGCTCGGTCAAGGAACGTACCCCTGCTCGAGCCCAGAGACGGTTGCCTTCTCCTCGAGGTCGTCGACGCCCACGTAGACGGGGTCCGACTTGAGCGCCAGCGTCTCCAGGTCCTTGACCTTCTTGGTGGTGGTGGCGCTGAACAGCATCGTCTGACGGCGCTCTGACGCCGGGGACAGATCGGGGTCAATTCGGGGTCAACAGGGGTACAGGTCACACGGGGTCAGGTCGGGGTTAACGTGGGTACAGGTCACACGGGTCACGCCGGGGTCAATAGAAACACGGAAGGAGCGGAGGTCACACGGGTCACGTACTCAGCTATTGAGCCCATCCATCCAACGCCCAGCTGACATCGAATGACCACTTTATCCAGCTTGGTAGTTCACATGGTACTGATGGCAGATGGCATAGTGCATATCCCGGTGCCAACAATATATCTCGATAATACCTTGTAATGTGATACTTCGCTGGTATCTCAGCTGTACCTCGGAATGAATGGCGCACCTACACCAATGCGTTAGGTGATACCCCAAGGGGTGAGAGGAGCCAGACGATAGATCGGTCGGGTGCTCATTATCACAATGGGTGGAGACTTCCATTGCGCGTCTAGTAGACGCGTCTAAGTCTTAGACGCGTCTCGCTGGACGGCGGCTGCGTCTATCTGGCGACAGCTAACTTTAGACGCGTGTAGCTTGGAAGTCTCCTTCCCACAGTTAGACACCAAGTTAGACGCCAGCTTGGACGTCTGCTCAGTTAGACGCCAGTTGGACGCCAGTGGAAGTCTCCATCCAATGTGGACTTGCAGTCTGTGGCTCATTCGTAACGATTTGGGACGTTTAAGAATTAGAACATTCATGGCGAATGACATTATTCATTCAAATCCTTTACCCACTCCCCAAACCATCAATCTGATCTGTTCCAACTCACAGGTCTGTTTCATCTCTCCACTCCTACTCACTGGGCAGCAGTTTGATGATCTGTTTCACCCACCCACTCCTACTCACTGGGCAGCAGTTTGATGATCTGCTTCATCTCGTCCTCGAAGCCGATGTCCAGGATGCGGTCCGCCTCGTCAATGACCAGACACTGCAGATTCTTGAACAGGAAGCTGGGCGTGTTCTGCAGGTGGTCCAGTAGACGACCCGGCGTCGCCACGATGATGTTGACGCCTGAGGGGAGACGCCAGGGTCAGGTCAGGTCGGAGTAAAAAGAAAAGGAAAAGATGTTTGTTTGTTGAAAAACACCTCAAAAGTTTTGGAAGAACCACAGGTCCACTCTGAAAAAGGAATGACGATGAAATACATCCAAAATACCAAAAAAAAATGTATTCAAATCGAAGTGTCGGAGACCGACGTCAGTACCTAAACTAGGGAAGCGTTCAAAGCACAGAGTCCATATTGAAGTTGCTTTTATCGCTCCAGTCAGCTCTATCTATATCCCACCCTTTCATATCGCCACACGCACCACTCTCCCACACCCCTCTCCTCTCTCTCTCTCCCCGCACGGCCTCTCGCCACCGATACGGCAGTGTCCGACGAATGCATCTGACGCGCGCCGCGCCTCCCGCCTACATATTTATGAGGAAGTCGTTAAATAATTACATAGCGCGTCGACTGCATGAATCAGTGTGCAGACCGGCGTCTCGGCGCCGGCGCCATGCACGTAAATCGCGCGGGCGCCGGCAGACGGGTGGACTGATCAGTATTCGGAGTGGTACGCCCCTCCAGGGCGGGGTCACGGCAGAGGGGAGGGAGAGAAGGGTACTACGCCCCAGATATTGGAGGCCCCGCCCCGTGGGAATGTGGTGCTACATCGAGCAGCGATTATCAATGTTGACGTACCGTGAGAGTGTGTTATAAATTGGTGAGGCGCTGGAATTTACACGCTAAATTATGTCGATGTGTAGTTCATGGAAGTCACGTTACTTTCCACGCCAAACGAGCTAGGAGCATCCACTACCGTGAAACATTTTCACACGATCCAATAACACCCTTCAAAATATCTCGCAATAAATCCCTCATCGAGTGTCGACGGCTATTTAGGAGCCGGCGCCGGTGACAGAACTAGTCAGCTGCTGTCGAACAGGTGATCTGTTCAGACAGCGAGCGGCAGCCAGAGTCAGCAGCACTTTCGAACCAATCAACCGACGGATGAGCACCGCCAGTGGCCAGCGGCCAGCCAGCTGCTCCAGTAAAACCGTCGTTCAATCACACGAGCGGCACGACTGGCGCCATCTGTTATCGGCGCTGGAATAACAGCTTCTGACAGCGGCGGACAGGTGTCTCAATATTGAACATCCATCAGAGGATCAGGAACGCATCAAATGACACGCATCAAATCAGTCAGACCGAGAGCTGCAACATGAGTATAAATAAAAGGCTTCTAAGTGAATTTGAGTAATAGGAGCAGCAGCTGCAGCTCACCTGAAATGGACGAAAGTCATGCATATCTTGCGTCAAAACAAGAGATGCGAGATTTCAGAGAATCATCAATTGCACCGCAGGAGCACTTCACTCCAATAACATTCAAAATGCGCAGATAAATGGCGTGCAGCCCTCGAATCCACGGCACATCACGTCAAACTGGGTTCGGACGTCGAACCGACATCACAACATGCGTAAGTGAGCCAGGTTTGGAGGAACGATCGATAGCTGCCAATCAAAAACCGAACGAGCCCCTTTCATTTCATAACATTTGGGTTCGCGACCGATGATAAAAATTCAGACCAGTAGAGTAGCCGCAACAAACAAATGAAAAGGCAAAGTTATTCAATCCTGAAAGTCTAACAATTTCACCAGTACTGAACTCTCAAAATACCCTACAACTGCAATTCGGTGCATTCTAAAAGGGTCATCCCCAATCCACCATCCCTCCCCCCTACAGTCCCCTCCAGCCCTACCCCGTCAGCGTCACGCTACTCACCGTTGGCCAGTTTCTGCGCCTCGGACGCCCGGTTTGTGCCGCCGATGATGAGGCCGTACGTGTGGAAATGGTGAGCCATCAGCTCCTTGAGCACGCCGAACGTCTGCATACTCAGCTCGCGGGTCGGCGAAATGATGATCACGCCTGACGGTAGGAGAACAGTCAGACTGTGAAAAGTGAGACAGAATTATCGCTTTGACGGGCAACGCATGCTAGCTTACTTCACAGCGGTCCAATAGCAACAAAAAACCAGCTCGATGACGATAACATTTCGAAGACTCATCAAATGGTGCATCTATGCCCCAAATATGTCTGGAAAAACTTCTTCTCAGATCCTTCGGACAAATAAGTCTACTTCCGTTTAGCCGTCACGCAATCCATTCGATATACATCGGTGACTCTCCCTACTTGCGATAATTCTACCGACCGGGCCGCCACCTACCGGTGCCGTTCCGAGGCATGAACTTGAGTTTGAACATGAGCTCCACAGCAGGGACGAGGAAGGCGAGCGTTTTACCGGAGCCGGTCTTGGCGGCTCCCACTAGATCCTTGCCCTCCAGCAGATGAGGAATGCAGCGAGACTGTGGAGAAATACAGAGAAAACGGGACAGCAGTTATCGTAAAACAGATTAGGTGTGCAGCGAGACTGTGGAGCCCGGAGGCACACATACAAAACATGTGTAACAGTGATAATGAAACACCTACCTCAAAACTTTACAGGTAGGTATATTATGCTGGGCCGGTAAAATGCTTATTACTTCATTTAAGACCGAGAGTTTGCCAAGTTTTGCGCAAGAGACAGAATGTCCAGAGCAGAAACAACAAATCCCGATGTTAATCAGCAACATAATTCATCCATAATGAAGCCAGAATGTTGGTAGGTACATAGTTTTGCATCTACTGCATAAATGTAAAGAGAAAGGACCAAATGCAAGCCAGACCGGACAAATGCAGCTGAACGGGAGCCACAACTCGTAGTCTGTCACAGCACACAGTGGAGTCAGACAATGACCTGAGACGGCCTCCCACTCACCTGAATGGGGGTCATGTGTGTGAAGGTCATTTCTTTGATGGCGCGCAGTGTGAACTCACAGACTCTGTCCTTCAGTGAGTCAAAGGAGGTGTCCTCCACTGGATTTACGCCCATCCATGATGCACCAGGTACTGAAAATGTAGATGCAAATTAAAAATATGGCATGAATTCTTTACAACAAGGCTCATACTTATTTAGTGTGAAAGCCATGAAAGCACAAAAACTCATTACAAATTCTAAATTGGAACTGGATGATTGTGAATAATTTATCCACTGCCTACTACAGTGGCGGCGGAAGCAGGGGGGCAAGGGGGGCAGCTGCACCCTAAAGCTATGGAAAGGGGCGCCTCGAAAATCTGTAGAGGAGGCAGGAAGTTAAGAGGTGCGGCAGCCATAAAGCTGAGCAGTGCGAGGCGACACCGCAACTGATAAAGGCACTTGTGACACGAAGAGGGTGGCAATGACGTGGGAAAAGTATCTTTTGATATGCTGAAGAGTGGAGGGCATCCTTATCTGAAACAAAGGCAGATGCTGCCGACCCTGTCGAATATAATCTTGCCAGGCGATAAAGGCTAGGAGAGCGCAGCTACTCGAGAAGCGCGCCATGCGGAAGAGGGGCGCCTGCATGCGAAAGAGGGGCGCCTGTGTGTGGGACGAAAAAGAAACATTTATGGAGACGTCTTTGAAGGCGATAGCCTCCGAACGCCAACACGAACATATGAGGGCTTATAGCGTTGCAGGCTCCATGCGACAAAAAGGGGCGCCTGATGGCCAATATGCGAGAGGAAATTAGTTTGTGTAACATTTATCGGGGGCGGTTTGCCGTTTACAACATATGAATGTTAAGGGAGGTCCGAGATTGGGGCCTGTAAAATTGCACTGTCCGTATGGGCGGTTACACCCCGAGTGCTAGGGCGTATTTTGCGTTTTTTTTTACTGGGGAGATGATTATGACCAGGAATAGCACTCTGCAAACTTCTATGGGCGCCTGTATAGGGGCGAAACTTTCCAGTGCAGGGACGGCCATCGGCATGGTAAGGGGCGCCCAGCGGGAAGGGGCGCTTCAATATCGTTTGCACCCCTATCCTAGAATACCTTCCGCCGCCACTGGCCTACTAATTCAATAAGAATGTCTATGCATGAGATAGCAGCACATGTATTCCAACCTGAAGGGGTGGCAGTGGGGACTGGCTCAGCAGCTGCCTCTTCTGCATTTTCCCCTGCAGTCTGCTTCTTTTTCTTCTTTTTCTTTTTACTAGCCACCTCCTCTGTGTGCTGCTCCTCAGTCTGCTCAGTGTCAGCTCCTGTGTCGTCCTCAGTGTCAGCCTGTGCCTCCTCCGCTGCCGAACCAGACTCATTGGCTGCAGCTTCTGCTTCCTCTGAAAACAACATTAAGCACTGTGTGTTTAGCTGCATAAAACTAAAATAAACAAGCCTGAAAGAGGTAAGGAACATCAAGAGATTGTCATCTAGCCATAACAGTCACACTCCACTTCAACCAGATGAATCTTGAAAAGGTATTAAAATTGAATAGGCCTGTTCTCATACAACTTTCGCCCTTTTCTTTCCTCTACAGCATGCATGATAAAGTGAAAAAATGGAAACAGCACCTCATGTTGCATCTAAAAAATCACTGACCCAATGCTGATGCCCATTACCACCAAGATTGGAAATTATTCCTGTACGACTATTAACTGTTACCCACCTGCTGCCTTCAGCTTCATCAACTTTTCTAACTTCTTCTTTTTCTTCTTGTTGAGCTTTTTATTCAACGCTTCCTCGTGGATAGCCATGGCTGCAGCTCAACAGCTCCAAAGCTATTTAACTTGGCAGATCACAATCGACAACAGCTTACAGAATGAGCAGCAAAAAGATTCCAATGGACTCCGAGGTTTATATAGCCTTGCTCCGATGCAAATGGAGATTCAGATTGATCCCGTTCACAGCTTAATGTTAAGCCTATTCCAAATAAAACTTGAGTGTCGCGAGCCGTCTACAACAATTAGATATCAATATAATAACGCCACTCCACTCCAACACACCCACAGAATGTTGTTTCCGCTGTTTCCCTCTTTGCCCACATGGGCAAGCACATGGGAAATTTTTCCGCATGGTATACAATAGCCATATTGTATTTAGTGCGTGGTAATTGCCTCAATTTGTGAAAGGAAATCCGTAGCTAAATGAAATTAGGTCCAGGCATACTGATAAAAACCATGCAAAGAAAAGAAATTAATAATGCTGTGATAAAACAAATGAATAGCTGAACCAACAACAAGTACATGAAGCCAACATCAAAGCCATCTACAGAGGCAGCATCATTTTTACAACTTTTGGCCTTTCAGTGAGGATCCGCGAAATGGGAGACGACAAAGCCAACCGAGGCGATCTGAACATTGAGCAAGCCGCTTCCCAGGCCGTCCTACGCCTACATTGTGATTGTGCGGTGATATGTATCCAGGTGCTAGTGGATACCCTAGTGGTTATAGATCAGTGGCTGTGATGGTGTTACAGGATATGCAGATGAAACTGATCAGCGGCGCCATTGCGCTTGATGGGCGGTCGAGAACAGGGCGGTATTCACATGGCCTCAAGAAGATGCGCCATCTCATCCATGGTAGCTATCTTGTCAGATGCTCACATATGGGCCAAACACCTCTGACAAGACAGTGGCTGGGTCCATTATCAGCCTTTCGCAGAACAGAAGACTTTAAGCACTGACCAGTGACCAGCCCAAGGTGAAATACGACATCAGAATCACGGGCGTGTATTCTCTGTTCTGTGCACTATAGCCTGTGAATATCACATCCCAAGGACGATTACTCCATCGCCGCGTCTAAAAAGTACAACTAGGAATCCCGTTTGGCACAGAGCATACAAAATGCCAATAAACGCCTGATGAAAAGGATCATACTCGTATAAGGCGTACTTACATCACTACAAAACAAAAAGTAGTCTTTTTTCGCGGTATAACGCTCTATGTCTCACGATGTTAGTATTAAATCGCCTTAATACCAACCGCTAGCGTCCGCGCAACAGGAATGCACTGTTTTTTGTCCGGCCGAAAATCCCTGCATCTATTGCACAATGATATATGGAGGAGCGGCCTGCCTGCACCGGCCCATCCCGCGGCACGACGGCCTTCAGCGAGCGCGGCACGAAGGCCCCCGAGTCACGCAACCAGTTCACGGGACGGCGCACATGGAACAGGGCCCGGTCAGCCCCACCAGTTGAAAAGACGAGACAGGAAGGGCTGAACCGAAACACCTGGATGGTGTTTTAAAGTAGTAATATGTAAATATAGCGATACTTGAGAAACTGGTGACTGGAATACATCGAACTCGCGAAATGTCGATACATTCTGCCACATAAACGTTCCCGGCAGTCGGCAAAGGCAATGCACAGCAAGCAGGGAGCCACGCCCACATCGTCACACAATGGCACAGATTGCTGTCGACACATTGCACATCTATAATTACAGCTACCAGCAGATTATTGTTCCCAGAGATATAGCTTATTTTGATATACGCTAATTGCACTACGTTACAAGGCCACAGCGGCCACCTGCCTAATGTACCCATAGACCGACAGGCGACAGCTACAGGCTAGCAAGGCCTGTCAATAATGCCACCAGTAGCAATCCTAACCGCAGCTAGAGCCCAAGCAACGCTCTACCTTCGTGGAGCAAGCCGCCGCCCCACCTGTGGATCTACCCGTCAGCTACCAGCGCCCTCTTCTCTGCACCTTATCCGCTGAGTTCGTCCGAGCCAAGCAGTCTGTTCCAGCTCCTCACTCGTACTCGGTCTGTGTTCACCCACAGAGCTCCTACCCCAGCATCCGGTGTCGGAGCCCCTTCCGCTCCTAGGCCATGGGCAGCTCGGCAGCGGCGGCGTATCGGCCGAACGCGTGGTGGAACAGCTGCCTCTCGATGTCGCCCAGCAGGCTGGAGGCGCCGATCCTGAACATGGTGCTGTTGAGCCAGGCGTTCCCCAGCTCCTCCTTCATCAGGATCAGCCAGACGAGGCTGTCCTTGGCCGAGCGGATCCCGCCGGCCGGTTTGAAGCCCACCCGGTACCCGGTACGCTCGTGGTAGGCGCGGATGGCGCGGCACATGACCACCCCGACGGGCAGGATGGCGTTCACACCCTCCTTGCCTGCGGGGCGAGACGGGACGGCAGTCAGGGCGGTGGCTCCACAGACCTCAACTCATCATCACTTTACTCGTCTGTCATTATAGAAAACAGCGTCCAAGGAGGCGCGTCAACGCTGCCGGCCTCTAGTAATATCCATATTGAATTGTTAGCAACTACTGTGAATCTGTAATTTATTGTCATTCAGAGAAAACACCTGGACAATGGCGTTTGCTGAAAACATGACGTGACAGCTAATGAGACATTATTGAAGGATCATGAAACCAAAATAAATGCTAATTGGGATTTGTCTTTCAGGGTCGACGCTGTAAATCAACAAATCCCTATAAAATACCTTAGACTTATAAAAAGTATCCCGTTATTTGCATACTGCATTGTTACAAAATACAATGCGCAATAGCATATCACATACCCGTAGGTACACTGAATTTACATGCAGCTCAACACTCCTCACGCAGGGAAAATTCCGGTACAGGAGCATCAACATTCCCTGACCCCTATTTGTACGTTCCCGCTGTTCCGAGTAGCGGTACCGCGGAGGTCAGCCCCCAGCCTCCCGTTCCCGGGAATCTGGCAGTCCGGGCAGCACCCTGAGGTCGAACGGGCACATGATCTCGCCGGGAATGCAGGTTTACACAAATAACACGCCGCTCCTAATACTGACTAATGGCTGGTTCGGCTTTGGCAGCGGATTACCGGCTGGCAGTTTTGTGTCGGCTGCCAGATTACAAAGGTTACCAGGTGTGCCGACCCCCAAACGATTGACAAACACACCCGTAATGAGGGGGCGCCGTGACCGCACGATTCGCAGAGAACATCAACAGTTATGTAACATTCAGACGAAGGTGATGCGCGCAAAAATGGATTATCCTTCAATGCTGTTTCAAATATTATGAATTAAGCAATCATCATGAGGAAATGACATGCTTTAAATAAAAATTACAGCAATCGGTCAAAGATTCCTAAAGAAAACATCATAATTGATTGAGGTTTCGGTGTTAATGATTTTATGATCCTCAAATAAACCATCGGAATTGAAAACTGAGAGCATTTGGTACCGCTGGTGAGCACTGAACAACAGAGAAAAAAATAAGCTGGGGGTTCAGATTATTAACGATCCCAAAAATAAGATTATTTTTGCCACAACATGTGCCCTCCTCGCCACGTGAATACCACACCCAAGGCCCTATATCACACCTAAAACCACCCTAACTCCATGCCCCGCCGTCCTCTCACCGGTGGAGGTTTTGATAAAGTCGGCGCCAGCCATCATGCAGACCAGCGAGGCCTTGTAGACGTTGACCAGCGATCCCAGCTCGCCCACCGCCAGGATCGTCTTCATGTGCGCATCTCCGCAGGCCTCGCGCATCAGTCTGACCTCGTCATATACCGCCTGAGAGGACAGAGGGCTCACAGTCAGCCAAAGACAGTGTCACCACAGTCACCACAGGCCTGGCGCGTCTATCTGACCTCGTCGTACAGGGCCTGGGGGACGGGGCGGTCACAGCAGCGGTCATAAGGACATCTCAGACGAGCGCAGTAAACGGTGACAGGACAGAAAAGCAAACTTGCCGGACCGTGGCACGCCCGAATCCAATGCTACCCGCGAGAGGTGGAGCATGATTTTCATGTGCACTTCACAGTGTTCTATGAATACTATTTTGTGTTTCTGAAATAACGCATAACTTCATGAAAAATGGCGTCTCAGCTAGCCGAAGCTGCTCTGGGACAGGAGCAGCTGCCAGCTGGGAGCGATAGATGGGGTTCGGGTGTTCTTAACGAAAGAAATCACCATGCTCGCGGCTCGGGTATTCCGAATGTCCAAAAGCCGCTGTGAGCAAAAACGAATAAATTTCAGGCAACAAGTCGGCAAACGATAGGTAAATTAAGCTTAATTTGACGGAACCAATCTCGTTTTACATCCGAGTGTCAGGATTCGAGGGATGGGTTCCATAGCACAGCATTCATGGCTTCAACGAAGTCAATATACAGGCAAGAAATGAGGCATGACCATTGGAAATAATGTGGAATGAAGAAACAAGTATCCGCGGTTGAACAGCGATAATCCACAGGTAACAAAACGCTACAAGAGTGTTTCACCTAAACTGTTTCATCAATCATAATAATCTGAGCACTGCAACACGAGTTAAGGTGCTCAGAGCTTCACAGGCAGTTCAGCAAACTGCAATGGTCGCGGAGAAGGTCATCGTAGCGGTTTCATGTAGGTACAACATGCTTTATGGAATGCGACAGGTCTAACACCACTAAGTCAAAAAAATGAAGGACCACGGCACTAAAAGTGGACAATGGAGCTTAGTTAACACGCGTTAACAACCCACCATGGAAGCCAAACCAGTTCACATCCTTTGCAACGAGCAAGGTCAAAAGCCCAAATGACTAATAGAAAAGACACTCGCAAAAAGGCGCCCCGAAATGTCAAGACCGCTTACAAGGGACCAGGGTAGTCCCGAAACGAGCGCAATTATGTAGAAACACAAAAGGCCTGCAGAAAAATACTGAATGCAGCTGTTTAAATGTAGGAAGTGAAATTAATTTAGAAGCTGATTTTCCACCGTATAACAGAAAATGCGACCCCTTGTTTTCAAAATCTACCGACGTCAATGGCTTTCAGCCATTTAGCACAAGGAAGTGAAGTTCAGCATTAAGTCTCATTTTGTAAGTCACGTCAAGCTTCGTGTTTCTTCGCGTTAGGAACGACAAACATCGGAGCACCACAATCGACGCATGCCAGTGCTCCTCGATATCGCTTTGGATCACAGGCGGACGCAGGACGACAATAAAGGACAAAAGTAGGCAACTCCGGGCGACACTTACAATTAGACAAAGTAGCGTAATAATGCCGATATTCTCAGCTGGACATAAATGGACTAGACAAAGGTGGAGAAGAGGGTGGGAAAATAATAGCAGGGCACATGCCTAAGCAAAGTACAGCGAGGCGGCTTAACCCTCGCCGGCACAGGCCATTTTGAGTCCTTCGACGGCACAAGGGGGGGGGGGGGTGGTACGACCCCCCCCCCATCGCGTTTGGCCCCTGATCGAGCTAGAGCTTCGCGGAAAAAAACGAGCGTGTTGCCCGTCACGAGAGGAAGCCGATGATACCCAATTTTAAGGTCCTAGGTCATCGGGTGACCTTCCAGGTCAGGTCAATGACCCGAAAACCGGGAAAATCGGGACCTGTTAGAAAGTCGTAAAGTGTGGCTGTTATGTGGTTTTCCGGGGTGCTGATCACGAATATCGTGTTAGTTTTGATCAGAGATGATGTCTTTAAGCATTTAGACCAGGTCGGGTCAGGTCAGGTCATGTCAACCGGTAGGGGTTGTGACGGGTATTCGTAATGCGTGTCAACCGCCTCGGACAGCTTCGTAACATGTTACGAAGGCACCAAAACTACTTCGTAAATGTTCAAATGGTTGCTAAATTCGAATTCAGCTCCAAAAACTAGCCTAGAAACATGTAAAACTCGAAAAAGTGAACCGAGGTCACCCGAGGTTACCAAAGGTCAATGACCTGACCTGACCTTCAGGTGACCTTGACACCCACCCTAATGCATGGGAGCAACATCAACTCACATGTCTGAACGTTTGAAACCACGAAAAGCTTGCAAACGCGCGGCTAATGCGAGCCGACATGCGCCAAACCGCGATTTCGGCCAAACATAGTCACAGAAAAGAGGTCACAGGTCAAAGGTCATTGGGGTCAGGGTCATGAAATTTTCAGGGTAGGTGTAAAATTGATCAATGCGAGGGTACTGAAAGTTTCGTCCCGATCGGCCGCTTTTTACGCGAGTTATTCGCGAAAAACCTTAGGGGGGTTGCATCAACCCCCCCCCCCCCCCCCCCTGTGCCGGCGAGGGTTACGGGGCGAGCGAGGCTATGAGGAAACGAAAAAGATGAGAGAGGAAGCCAAGAAAGAGAGAAAAGAGAGAAGAGAGAGAGAGAGAGAGAGAGAGAGAGAGAGAGAGAGAGAGAGAGAGAGAGAGAGAGAGAGAGAGAGAGAGAGAGAGAGAGAGGGAGAGCACAGAGAAAGAGGAGTGATGAGAAGCAGGCAGGCAGACAGACGGACAGAATGGGGACAGCACACGGCCAACCCACCTTCCAGTCGCCGCAGAGCGCCCTCTCGCGGTTGATGACGATGTCGATCTCGGCCGCTCCGTCCGCCACGGCCAGCCGGATCTCCTCCAGACGGGTCTTCAGGGCGAACTGACCCGACGGGAACCCGGTGGCCACTGCCAGTGAGGGTAGGGATGGTGTTAGGGTCACAGTATGGGGATGGGTGGGCGGCATGGGCACAGAGAAAGTACCAACAGATGGCTCAGCCGCCGGTCCAACGAAAAAATGCTTGTAGGCTGAGCTTGTCACGAGACACCATGAATTTGAGATGAGACGTACTACACAGCTGTACCAATCAACCCTCTCACTGGCAAACCTCCTCAGCTCAAATAACTCGCATCCCACCCCTCCTCCACGAGTGACTCACTCTCCCCAGCCTCCCCTCTCACCGGCGGCCACCGGGATGTGTGCGGCGCCGATCTTCTTCAGCGCGGCCACCGCGTCCGGCACGCGGCTCGGGTAGACACAGACGGCGCCGCACGTGACGCCCAGCTCCTGGACGCCCAGCGCCGAGACAATGTCACCGCGCACCGGCCGCGCCGCCTTGTGGCACAGACGCATCACATTGGCCGCAGTGTCGTCACCTGAAGGAGGGGAGGGGAGGGTGAAGGGATGGTGAGGGGAGAGGGGAGGGTAGGAAGGACAGAATGAGGGCGTTGGGTAGTGGTTGGCGGTTGCTATCGTTACGTATGTACACTCAGCGGAGTGGGTTGGATTCTAGTATTTCTACTCAATGGGTTGGTTACCAAGGAACTGGCTATATCGTGCGATTTGCACAATGTAATAGAAATAAAAGCATGTGACAGGGCAAGGAAAACTTTAACGGTTTACACGATATACTTTATCGAAATCCGTCCCAGGAATGACCGAAAACATCCCAGATATTAAAATAACGCCAACAATGCAATTCAGCATTCAGGGAAATGTCAAATGGCATTGACACTTGGCAGGCCTCACTAAACCACTTACTAGGAATCCCGGATATTGTTATAAACAGGTGCAGCGGGAAAATTTCGAAAAACGAACGTCTTATCGGTGTAGTTTCAAACACGACACCGACCAGGCAAATTGTCCCAGGCCGTTCCATTCACGTTCCGTTGAAATACCACCGCGAGGACTTTCACTGCACCTCACCGCACTTGGCACGTGAACGGTGGGTGCTCATGACGACGGGAAAGCTCACCGATAGGCGAGGACTTACCACAGTGCGCTCAAATGAGAGTACGTCCGAGGCCTAGATTCCGCAGTAACGCAAAATAACAGCTCAGCATAGCAATATCTATAACAATCTGAATGTTAAAGAGGACAGTCCGATCCCGATTACCGAAAATGGTCCGGGAGGAGCGGCATCCAATCCAAGTGACTGGCAAATGGGGGTTAAAAAAGTGACGGGGGGGGGGGGGTAAAATCAGTTTCTCGGTTACCGTGACCTTACTGAGAAAGTGAGATGTTTTGTCGTTATTTCATGAATCGACGTCCAGATAAATTATTCGACGCTGAGGTCAGCATAAATATGCGAGAAATTGCGAAAGAGCACACAGAAAAGCAAAAGTACAAAGATCATTACATCATGTTTTACTCAGAGACGGGGTAAAATACCTACGTGTTTAATGTCCCTAATATTGCTTGTATTCGAATTTCAAAAAAAAATGCATTCACTTTGTCACACTGTCCTATATGTTAGTTGTCGTCCATTGAGTGGGCATATCCTTATGGGGACCACTTTCATGGCTCAACAATTGGCACAAATATCATATCGGCTAAGTTTTCTGGACGACAGCCGGCCGAGTACCATAGTGCGACCAATATACAACACTTCAGTTACGATCACAATGCGACATAACGGTGCACAAACAACACATTCGCCGATGATTTTTAGCGGGATCATACAATTCACCCGTCAGTCATTCGTCGCCAGAACTCGGACCGTAATCAAACCACCATATCGGCGATTCAAAGGCGATATTGCGCAATATCAGAAGACGTTACCCGTTCTTTTCCGCCAAAACGAGGTAAAGGCTAGCATAATAAAGACCGATTTTCGAGAAAGCAGCTTCAGCCTTTGGAAGACATGCGGGTCGAAACGGATTACGAACGATGTGGTTTCGGTACTGGAAACCTATTATCCAGGTCACTGAGGGGAACGGAGACAAAAATCAGCGACGATCTTTGATGGATTGACTGCACCGATTGTATTGTGCCACACCAGCTGTAACCTGTAGGTTAAATTATAGGCATACTTCAAGAAGTGGAATATGTGCAAAGTGGATCACGCATGCGTCCTTCGAAGAGCTTGCGGACGACTGCACACAGTAACAGATTGATCGTTTTTCAATATAAAATGAAAAACTAATGCTTATCACAAACTTTACCACAATATGTTGTGACTGTTGAAGTGGATAACGCCAACATGTAGGTATTACTCTGAAATATGAATCAAGGTGAAAACTCTTCTTCTCGCCAGCAACAAACATTTTTGTCTTCTATAAAACTAATGCACAGCTAACACTTAAATTTTCAACATCTTTAAGCTCAGTAGTCAACAATGCTCAATAAGTTCAATTTGGAATAACCTACCAGGCTATTGTCTTGCATCCAGTTCCATCAATCAGAAAGTAGCAATGTTCACAATGCTCATCAGGATCTGTGGTGGGGAGAGAGCTGAAACTTGTGAGGATAGGTACTCACCTCGCCTGCAAGAGCTGTGACAATACTGAGAGCATTGTGAGGATACAAGCCTTAGAGAGTTGTGAGGATACTGACCTGGGAGATTTGTAGTAAGGACACTAGCCTGCGAGAGCAGACTGCAGAGAGCATTCGTGACACTGACACTGACCTGAGAGAGTTGTGAGGTCAATGCAGGAGATGGCTCTGAGCAGCCAGGCGGCCTGCCACTCCTTCTTGACAGTGCGCTTGGTGCCCATGGTGTCTGCTCGCCTTTTCACGGCCGGAAGGTCCACAATCACAGAGTTCACCCATGCCAGATCTGGTTGGCACAGAGAAAACATTATTACATGGAAAGAGGCTCATAATGATTCTAGCAAAGGTTGTCTGCACACCATTAAAACATTCTTTTGGCATGATAACATTTCTAGTCATTAAGCTTCAGCAAAATAATGAACTCATGATGAAATATACCATTTATGATTCACAAGTAAAGGGAAAATTAAAAATAAGGAAATTGTGGAAAAAATGAATGAAATTTGAAGAGTCATCATTTTGAATTATAATTGCATTTAGGAAACAATCAGCAAGAAAAAACAGTTCAAGAGGCTGACATAACCTGATGCTTTCATTGTCATTAGTTGGAGTGGATGGTTGGTTTTGGGTTAAGCACCACATCCAGTGGACCAAGGTGCTAACCGGAACTCTCACGCTGTTCCAAGCGGTCAGGTAGCGGCAATGCCACGTGCACTGCCCGGGAATCGAACCCGGATGGCCGAATCTAGAGGCAAGTATCTTACCCCTAGACCGGAATGCTCCCCTAGTTCAGTTGGGGAAACTACGAGGAGCCAAACAAAAATTGGATTAGCCAATCAGCGGCTGGAGTGGGCGGGGCGATGACCATATATGGTCATAAAATCAGACAACATCATCTTTTCAATGAATTTTAGCATTCAAATGAAAAAATAAGGCATAAGAATGTTTTTAAACCACACAAGACCTACACTCACCCGGTGCATAATTAACTGGCGGCTCTAAATCGCAGAGTTACAACGCAAGGTCAAACTGTGATTGGCAAATATGGCGGATTGAAACAGACGCGCCAAGAAATGTAAGCAGTACCGTGGTTTAAAAATGTCATTATTTTTATTATTTTGTTTATGGTTTTTCTATTTGTAGTGAAGTTATTATTTTAGAATTAAATATTTTTGTTAATTGCAATTAAATTAAATCTTTTAACAATTTTCTTTAATAAAACCAATCCATTTATTGAATGGCCAGCTGATTGTGACGCCCAGAACCTGCAGAAAAGCCGTTTTCCTATCGCCATTTTCGAGTCAATTCGCCGAATTTGATCAAATCACACTAATTCCTAGTGATAAATGGAAGCCTGTTCTCTCCAATAAGTGGACGCGATACCACAAGTACCGGCTTGTTATACCGTTTTTCACCCTTAGTAGCGGGGGCTGCATTTATGCCCATATATGGTCATCAAAAGTCCATTTTGTGACGTTCCATCAGCCTTCAGCTGATCGCACTTCTAGAGGCACCAACAGTCCCGAGTGCTCAGACTGAGTATATTGTCGAGAAACAAGAACTAAGCAACATGCACCTGCAAACAGACAAACAGTCAATGACAGTCAGGACGGAAATACATGCAGCTCCCAGCGAGGGGCAGTGCGCATGCGGTCATGCGGACGAGCACATGTGAGCGTTGGGGAAGCATGTATGCACAAGGGGGTAAGACAGCAGGCATGACATGCGGTTGTGCAGCGGACATGTTAGCGCGAACATAGATAAAGGACAGTGCGAGAAGGAATACATACAGGCAGGCAAAACCAGATCAGTGCAATAAATGATACCACCGTGACAATTTATTGACCAATCCATTTTTTGACATTCGCCTCGTAGTTTCCCCAACTGAGTTGGAGTGGAGCAGACACACTATGACTTCTGAATCCATTAAAAGTATAATAGCAATGCATCATTTCTTAATTCTTAAGGAAGCTGAATAACAAGTACCATGCATTACAATACACTTCCTTGCATTATAAGTACATTAACCACTACATTAACATTATACTTGAACTAATGCAAAGGCTAAGGCCAGGGCTGAGGCACTTGGAACACGTCGTATTTTGAGTTCCATTGAGAGCTTACTTTTTAGTTTTCACTTACCGAGCTCACATCCAGGATTCCTTTCCATTGTTGACGTTGAATTCGCTTATTTTGTTATCTGAAAAATAAAATATAATTATTTTTGACACTCAGACTAAACTGAAGCGGATGTCAACACAAGAAATGCAACGCGAGAGAAAAAGGTAGGCACGCCCCCTTTGCGCCACTTCTGTAAAGCTTCCATATTCCTGAATGCTACCATATCTATCTATCTTTTCCCATGTCCGTGAAGTTAGCGTCAGCAACAGCAACGAATACAGCGTCGGATTCAGAATCGCTTCAAATAGTGCTATCAGGTCAATTGGGGGACGGGGAACACGAATATGACATTTATTTTGCCCTAGCTCCCTTCCTTCATCCCTTAATCGTCCCTTAAAGGACGGGGCGCGTCAAAAGTGCCCCAAGGCTTCGTCTGATCGCCAAAATAATGGTCGCAATCGATTCCTCGGGTCAATAATCAATAGCTAACCTCAGTCGAAGGTTCCAGACCTGTGGCTCCTATCCCTCATCCCTTAATCGTCCCTTAAAGGACGGGGCGCGTCAAAAATGCCCCAAGGCTTCGTCTGATCGCCAAAATAATGGTCGCAATCGATTCCTCGGGTCAATATCTAACCTCAGTCGAAGGTTCCAGACCTGTGGCTCCTATCCCTCATCCCTTAACCGTCCCTTAAAGGACGGAGCGCGTCAAAAGTGCCCCAAGGCTTCGTCTGATCGCCAAAATAATGGTCGCAATCGATTCCTCGGGTCAATATCTAACCTCAGTTGAAGGTTCAAGACCTGTGGCTCCTATCCCTCATCCCTTAATCGTCCCTTAAAGGACGGGGCGCGTCAAAAGTGCCCCAAGGCTTCGTCTGATCGCCAAAATAATGCTCGCAATCGATTCCTCGGGTCAATATCTAACCTCAGTCGCAGGTTTCAGACCTGTGGCTCCTATCCCTCATCCCTTAATCGTTCCTTAAAGGACGGGGCGCGTCAAAAGTGCCCCAAGGCTTCGTCTGATCGCCAAAATAATGGTCGCAATCGATTCCTCGGGTCAATATCTAACCTCAGTCGAAGGTTCCAGACCTGTGGCTCCTATCCCTCATCCCTTAATCGTCCCTTAAAGGACGGGGCGCGTCAAAAGTGCCCCAAGGCTTCGTCTGATCGCCAAAATAATGGTCGCAATCGATTCCTCGGGTCAATATCTAACCTCAGTCGAAGGTTCCAGACCTGTGGCTCCTATCCCTCATCCCTTAATCGTCCCTTAAAGGACGGGGCGCGTCAAAAGTGCCCCAAGGCTTCGTCTGATCGCCAAACTAATGGTCGCAATCGATTCCTCGGGTCAATATCGAACGTCAGTCGAAGGTTCCAGACCTGTGGCTCCTATCCCTCATCCCTTAATCGTCCCTTAAAGGACGGGGCGCGTCAAAAGTGCCCCAAGGCTTCGTCTGATCGCCAAAATAATGGTCGCAATCGATTTCTCGGGTCAATATCTAACCTCAGTCGAAGGTTCCAGACCTGTGGCTCCTATCCCTCATCCCTTAATCATCCCTTAAAGGACGGGGCGCGTCAAAAGTGCCCCAAGGCTTCGTCTGATCGCCAAAATAATGGTCGCAATCGAATCCTCGGGTCAATATCTAACCTCAGTCGAAGGTTCCAGATCTGTGGCTCTTATCCCTCATCCCTTAATCGTCCCTTAAAGGACGGGGCGCGTCAAAAGTGCCCCAAGGCTTCGTCTGATCGCCAAAATAATGGTCGCAATCGATTTCTCGGGTCAATATCTAACCTCAGTCGAAGGTTCCAGACCTGTGGCTCCTATCCCTCATCCCTTAATCGTCCCTTAAAGGACGGGGCGCGTCAAAAGTGCCGCAAGGCTTCGTCTGATCGCCAAAATAATGGTCGCAAACGATTCCTCGGGTCAATATCTAACCTCAGTCGAAGGTTCCAGACCTGTGGCTCCTATCCCTCATCCCTTAATCGATTGCGAGGAATCGATTGCGACCATTATTTTGGCGATCAGACGAAGCCTTGGGGCACTTTTAACGCGCCCCGTCCTTTAAGGGACGATTAAGGGATGAGGGATAGGAGCCACAGGTCAGGATTTTTCAACTGAGGTTAGATATTGACCCGAGGAATCGATTGCGACCATTATTTTGGCGATCAGACGAAGCCTTCGGGCACTTTTGACGCGCCCCGTCCTTTCAGGGACGATTAAGGGATGAGGGATAGGAGCTACAGGTCTGGAACCTTCGACTGAAGTTAGATATTGACCCAAGGAATCGATTGCGACCCTTATTTTGGCGATCAGACGAAGCCTCTGGGCACTTTTGACGCGCCCCGTCCTTTAAGGGACGATTAAGGGATGAGGGATAGGAGCCACAGGTCTGGAACCCTCGATTGAGGTTAGATATTGACCCGAGGAAGCGACTGCGACCCTTATTTTGGCGATCAGACGAAGCCTTGGGGCACTTTTGACGCGCCCCGTCCTTTAAGGGACGATTAAGGGATGAGGGATAGGAGCCACAGGTCTGGAACCTTCAACTGAGGTTAGATATTGACCCAAGGAATCGATTGCGACCCTTATTTTGGCGATCAGACGAAGCCTTGGGGCACTTTTGACGCGCCCCGTCCTTTAAGGGACGATTAAGGGATGAGGGATAGGAGCCATCGGTCTGGAACCTTCGACTGAGGTTAGATATTGACCCGAGGATTCGATTGCGACCCTTATTTTTGCGATCAGACGAAGCCTTGGGGCACTTTTGACGCGCCCCGTCCTATAAGGGACGATTAAGGGATGAGGGATAGGAGCCACAGGTCTGGAACCTTCGACTGAGGATAGATATTGATCCGAGGAATCGATTGCGACCATTGTTTTGGCGATCAGACGAAGCCTTGGGGCACTTTTGACGCGCCCCGTCCTTTAAGGGACGATTAAGGGATGAATGATAGGAGCCACAGGTCAGGATTTTTCGACTTAGGTTAGATTTTGACCCGAGGAATCGATTGCGGCCATTATTTTGGCGATCAGACGAAGCCTTGTGGCACTTTTGACGCGCCCCGTCCTTTAAGGGACGATTAAGGGATGAGGGATAGGAGCTACAGGTCTGGAACCTTCGACTGAGGTTAGATATTGACCCAAGGAATCGATTGCGACCCTTATTTTGGCGATCAGACGAAGCCTTGAGGCACTTTTGACGCGCCCCGTCCTTTAAGGGACGATTAAGGGATGAGGGATAGGAGCCACAGGTCTGGAACCTTCGACTGAGGTTAGATATTGACCCGAGGAATCGATTTTGACCCTTATTTTGGCGATCAGACGAAGCCTTGGGGCACTTTTGACGCGCCCCGTCCTTTAAGGGACGATTAAGGGAAGAAGGATAGAAGCCACAGGTCTGGAACCTTCGACTGAGGTTAGATATTGACCCGAGGAATCGATTGCGACCATTATTTTGGCGATCAGACGAAGCCTTGGGGCACTTTTGACGCGCCCCGTCTTTCAGGGACGATTAAGGGATGAGGGATAGGAGCCACAGGTCTAAAACTTCGACTGAGGTTAGATATTGACCCGAGGAATCGATTGCGACCATTATTTTGGAGATCAGATGAAGCCTTGGGGCACTTTTGACGCGCCCCGTACTTTAAGGGACGATTAAGGGATGAGGGATAGGAGCCACAGGTCTGGAACCTTCGACTGAGGTTAGATATTGACCCGAGGAATCGATTGCGACCATTATTTTGGCGATCAGACGAAGCCTTGGGGCACTTTTGACGCGCCCCGTCCTTTAAGGGACGATTAAGGGATGAGGGATAGGAGCCACAGGTCTGGGACCTTCGACTGAGGTTAGATATTGACCCGAGGAATCGATTGCGACCATTATTTTGGCGATCAGACGAAGCCTTGGGGCACTTTTGACGCGCCCCGCCCTTTAAGGGACGATTAAGGGATGAGGGATAGGAGCCACAGGTCTGGAACCTTCGACTGAGGTTAGATATTGACCCGAGGAATCGATTGCGACCATTATTTTGGCGATCAGACGAAGCCTTGGGGCACTTTTGACGCGCCCGTCCTTTAAGGGACGATTAAGGGATGAGGGATAGGAGCCACAGGTCTGGAACCTTCGACTGAAGTTAGATATTGACCCGAGGAATCGATTGCGACCATTATTTTGGCGATCAGACGAAGCCTTGGGGCACTTTTGACGCGCCCCGTCCTTTAAGGGACGATTAAGGGATGAGGGATAGGAGCCACAGGTCTGGGACCTTCGACTGAGGTTAGATATTGACCCGAGGAATCGATTGCGACCATTATTTTGGCGATCAGACGAAGCCTTGGGGCACTTTTGACGCGCCCCGTCCTTTAAGGGACGATTAAGGGATGAGGGATAGGAGCCACAGGTCTGGAACCTTCGACTGAGGTTAGATATTGACCCGAGGAATCGATTGCGACCATTATTTTGGCGATCAGACGAAGCCTTGGGGCACTTTTGACGCGCCCCGTCCTTTAAGGGACGATTAAGGGATGAGGGATAGGAGCCACAGGTCTGGAAGCTTCGACTGAGGTTAGATATTGACCCGAGGAATCGATTACGACCATTATTTTGGCGATCAGACGAAGCCTTGGGGCACTTTTGACTTGCCCCGCCCTTTAAGGGACGATTAAGGGATGAGGGATAGGAGCCACAGGTCTGGAACCTTCGACTGAGGTTAGATATTGGCCCGAGGAATCGATTGCGACCATTATTTTGGCGATCAGACGAAGCCTTGGGGCACTTTTGACGCGCCCCGTCCTTTAAGGGACGATTAAGGGATGAGGGATAGGAGCTACAGGTCTGGAACCTTCGACTGAGGTTAGATATTGACCCAAGGAATCGATTGCGACCCTTATTTTGGCGATCAGACGAAGCCTTGGGGCACTTTTGACGCGCCCCGTCCTTTAAGGGACGATTAAGGGATGAGGGATAGGAGCCACAGGTCTGGAACCTTTGACTGAGGTTAGATATTGACCCGAGGAATCGATTGCGACCATTATTTTGGCGATCAAACGAAGCCTTGGGGCACTTTTGACGCGCCCCGTCCTTTAAGGGACGATTAAGGGATGAGGGATAGGAGCCACAGGTCTGGAACCTTCGACTGAGGTTAGATATTGACCCGAGGAATCGATTGCGACCATTATTTTGGCGATCAGACGAAGCCTTGGGG